TCTGCACAGGGATTTGCCGCGTCAGGGAGGGGGTGGCTTGCACCGCGCCTCCTTACCACACCGGCTGACTCTACGTAGGCATTTGCTGCGTTAGGGAGGGGGGGGGGCTTGCACCGCGCATCCTTACCGCACCCGCTGACTGTACGCCCGCCCGCCGCCCGCCCGCCGCCGGCCCCCCGCCGCCCGCCCGCCGTGCTTCCGTCTCCAGCACAGCATCCAGTACTCAGCAGCTTCCCGCTGCAAGAGAGAAAGAACCCCTAGGAGTTCTACTACATCCCGATCCGCCCGACCGCCCGCCCAACCGCCGCCCGTCCGCCGCCCGCTCCCGCCGCCCGCCCGCCGTGTTCAACACAGCGCCCAGTACTCAACAGCGTCCGTCTCCAATGCAACATTCAGTGCTCGACAGATCCCGTCTCCAACACAGCACCCAGCACTGAACAGCATCCCGCTGCAAGAGAGACTCCTTGGGATTTTCGCCCAAATCCCGACCCGCCCGCCGCCCGCTCGCCCCCCGCCGCCCCGTTCCCCCTGCTTCCGCGAGCAGCACGACGCCCAGTAGTCAACAGCGTCCGCCTCGAGCACGCTACCGGGTGCTCAACAGCCTCCGTCTCCAACGCAACACCCAGAATTCAACAGTGGAGGAGGAGGAGGAGGAGGAGGAGGAGGAGGAGGAGGAGGAGGATCCCGCTGCAAGAGGATCCTCAGGAGGTCTGCTGGAATCCCAACCCGCTCGCCCGCCGGCCGCCCGCCCGCCGCCCGCCCCATCGACGCCTGCCCGCCGTGCTTCCGCGTTCAGCGCAGCATCCATCAGGAGGGAAAGAAACACACAGACAGAAAGAAGATTCCCCAGAAAATATGAAAGAATATGGGAAGTGGGGGGGAAGGCAAACACCCAGAAGATATGTGAAAATATGGGGGATCTGTTTGTTTGTGTGTATTTATTTGTGTGTCCCAGGGCCCGGCCCTTCAATCCAGTACTCAACACTGCCCGGATCCAGCACAGCACCCAGTATTCAGCTTCTCCCCACTCCACAGCACCACACGTTGAGCGGGCGGCCCCCAATATCCCCCGAACTGGTTGTTCTGTTTTGTTTCTTTTCCTTTCTGCTGTTTCCCGAAAGGGTTCAACCATGATATTTTACCTTTAATTGCCGGGCCCCATGACCCCCGAAAAAACACCGAAAACAAAAAAGTTGTTTGGGTTGTCGAGAGTTTTCGGGGGGGTGCAGAAATAGTTGAGTTTTCCGTTGTGGGGCCCCAGAGCCGTCGAAAAAACGACAAACAAGCAAAGCTGTTTTTTTGGAGGTTTGCCAGGGGGTTTGCGGAGAGACTATTGCTTGTATTTGAAGGGGGCCAGAACACCTGGGCCCAAAAAGCACAAACAAACCTCCGAGTTGATGTTTTTTTTGGGGGGTGTTCCGATTGATTTGCAGAAATCGTTGTGCTTTTAGTTGTCGGGTCCGACAACCCCCGAGAAAACCCCGAGTTGTTTTTTAGGGGAGTTTGCCAGGGGGATTACATATTTAATTATGATGTTGCGTGCGGGGCCCCAGAACCGCAGAAAAACTTAGGAAACATTCAGAACTATGTGTTTTGAGTTTGTTTAGGGTTTTCCGGAGGGTGTTCTGAAATAGTCTTTTCTAAAATTGTGGTGGCCCAGAACCCTCGAGGAAAAACTTGCTAGTCCTGTTATCTCTCTCTCTATATACATGTCTATGCATATATATATATATATACACATAACACCCAAAACCGCACAACTAACACATCATATTTGCCCGACTTTGGAGGTTTCGTTTTTTTTATCTGGGGTTTCCGGGGGGGTCCAGAAGTAGCCTTGTTTCTAATTGTGGGGCCTCCGAACCCCCGACATACCAGAGAAACAACAAAAAACGAGTTGGAAAGGTACTTGGGGGTCTCCTGGGGGGGGTCTGAAATTAGTTTGTTTTTACCCCCTGGAACAAAAACACACACAAAAAAAACAAAAAAACAACAAACAACAAAAAACAAGAAAAACAACGGGTTGGGGGGTTGTTCTGGGTTTGTCCCAGCGGAAAAGCACCCGACAAACACCAGGAACAAAAGCAACCCGAGTTTTTGTTTGTTTGTTGAGTTTCCCGCGAGGTTTTCTGAAACAGTTTTGTTTTTGATAGTGGAGCCCCAGAACCACAGAAACCCACGGGAAAAAAACGCCGAGTTGGGGAGGTTTTTGGGGTTCCCCCCTTGGAAGAAACCAATTGAACAATCATAGAAAAACATCCGAACAATCCCCGAGTTGACAGGTGTCCCAGGAGGTTTTCTAACATCGTCTTGTTTTTCATTGTGGGTCCCCAGAACCCCCGAAACAATTCAGAAAAGCTGCAGTTTTTTTTTTTTTTTTTTTCTTCAAAGGTTCCCCCTTGAGAAAAATGTTCAGCCCCAGAGGAACAATAATGACAATACTAATAATAAGCAACAACAAAAACTACAAACAACTAGTTTTTTTGGTTCTGGGGTTTCCCGGGTGGTTTTCTGACATCGTATTGTTTGAAAGACGACAGAAAAACCATCGAAACAAACCCGAGTTGTGAGGGTTTTCGAGGGTTTCCCTCCCAGAGAAACTTTTGAAAAACCGCCGGAGAACAACCGGAAAACCCCCCAGTAGGGTTTTTTTTCGGAGGTTCCCCGGAGGGTTCTGAAATATTGTTTTTTAATCGTGGGCCGAAGAATTTCCGAAAAACCTCAGAGTTGGAGGGTTTTCCGGTGGTTCTCCCTTCGCGGAAAGCCGCATGCCGTGTCTGTGCATACCATGTAACGCGGTAACATCGGTCTTCGTAGGAAACATGGCATGATATGCTTCAGCATGTCATCTCAAATATTGTCATAGCATTTCACAGCACAGCATGGCATGGCAGGCAATGCGCACTATAGAGGATATCATGCAATTGCACTGCGTACTGCATCGTGACATTGTGCTTTATAGTATATCATGGTGTATCATGGCATCCCATAGCATAGTGCAACATGGCACTGCAGCGCTACATTTTTCCTATCCCATAGCTTGGCGACAGATCACTGGTCGACCGGTCGATGAGAGCGGAGGAAGAGGAGGAGTGAGGAAGAGGCGGTAGGAAACAGAGAATGTTGACCTCATTATTCATTACCGCCTCGTTGTCGCAATGCGGTCAGCATTCGACGAGCTAGAACCTAAGCGCACGCGAAGCGCGCGCGATGGTTCTATATAGAAATGAATAGATAAGTATAAATGGGAAGGGGGTTCTGGAGGCGCCGGAGTGCACTGATTTCTCTTCCGGCCGTTTTGAACCCGGCGGGGGTGCCAGAACGCGTCAAAGGATGGGAAGGGAGCGACGAGAGGACCCGAGAAACGTCCAAGAGGGCGCCAAGATGGCCCAAGAGCGTTCCAAGAGAGCCCAAGACCGCTAAAGGTCTTGGGCTCTCTTGGAGTGAATATGGCATACAGGTCTTTGAAACACGGGCTCGCCAGGGTAAGACAAGACTTGGTTGTCCCTCAGCGGCGCGGGCTCAATGAGCCGACAGCCGTCATTGCTGAGAGCACCATGCAGGCCTCTCACTGCACACCTTCAGCGAGCGTGCGCAGGTGCTGGACTCCTTGTTGGCCGCCGCGTCTGCACTATAATGTTCCCTTGGCGCCCTGCCAACGAGCAGGTCGAGGCAGTTGCGCCGCCTCAGTGGACTGAACAGATCCGTGTAATGGGACAAAAAGAGAGCCCAAGACCGCACAAGAGCGTTTCAAACTTGGTCCAACATGGCTTGAAGACAGCCCAAGAGGGCTTCAAGACAGCCAAGGTGCCCTCAAAAGGAGTCCCACGAGGCACTCAGGAGGCGAAACAAGTTGGTTCTTTCTAGGGTTGTTGAAGGTTTTTCGTGTTCTCGCTGTTTCGTGCTTCCGACGTTCCCTGACAGCCCACGAGGCCCCAGAAATCAGCTCAAGACGGCCCAAGAGGCACCCAGAGAGGGCGCCACGACGGCGCAAGAGAGTCCTAAGACGGCCCAGGAGCGCCCCGAGGCGCCCAAGATCGCCCAAGGGGGCCCCAACAAGAGGGGTCCAATAGGGGGAACACGAACCGACAATTCGAGCCTTCCCCCCCAAGAGGCCCCCAGGAGGCCCCAAGAGGCCTCCAACAGAGCCCAAGAGGCCCCCCAGAGGCCCCCAAGAGGCTCCACGAGGCCCCAGAGAGGCCCAAAAACTTCCTTCAAGAGGCTTCCCAAACTGCCTCCAAAACATGGCATGGCATTGCAGTGCATTGGATAGTCCAGCACGCCGTGTCTGTGCATACCTTCTGACGCGGCAGCATCGCTCTTCATAGGAAACATAACATGATATGGTTCAGCGTATCATCCCGTATACTACCATAGCATTTCACAGCACAGCATGGCATGGCATGCAATGCGCAATGTAGAGTATACCATGCTACTGCATTGCAATCTGCATCGTGTCATTGCGCTTATAGCATTGCGTGGTGTATCATGGCATTCCATAGCATAGTGCAACATGGCGCTTGTCCCATAGCTTGGCGACAGATCACTGGTCGACCGGCCGATGAGAACGGAGGAGGAGGAGGAGGAATGAGGAAGAGGCAGGAGGAAACAGAGAATGCAGATGTTATTCTTCATGGCCGCCTCGTTACTATCAACGCGGTCAGCACTCGAGCAGCTAGAAGCTAACCCTCAAGGGCAGTCCCGGCAGAGCGAGGGCGTTTTGGTTGCGCGGTTCTCTGCGTCGATGTCATGGGCCCGAGAACGCTGGAAATCGTCGTTATGACCACACCGGGGTTTACAGCGGCACCCGTGCCTCATCTGCGACCAGAACCTAAGCGCGCGCGTAGCGCGCGCGTGGTTCTAGTGTATATATATATATGCACATATATATATATATATATATATATATATATATATATATATGGCCACGTCTCTCTTGAGCAGCTTATTGCTGCTGGGAACAAGGCATCGGTGGCGCCGCCGAAGATTTGTGCGTCGAGGTGCTTCAAGATCGAGTATGCGATGAACGGTGATGATGACGTTGCGATCGAGATGACCACATGGGTATTCGCTACTCCTTCGGCCAAGGAAATTGAGTTGATGTTCGACCAAACGTGTGAGGCGCGGTTGTTTTCGTGGTATCGGTATTGTGTTGAATGTCGGTCATGGCCCGAGGTGCAAGGCGGCCAGGAGCGTTGTTAGATTAGCCTTCAGCTCAGCTTCCGCCAAGGGCAGTCGAACGCAAGGGGGGCCTCTTCCCGAAGAGATCTTGGAGGTTGGGCGAGCGGGGCCCGAGCTGGCTGCAGAGGCAGTCTGCTCGGCCTCGCTTCCGACTGTGCCGCGCGGCCGCAGTGCTTCGCGCGTCGAAGCAGGTGCTTGCCTTGATGTTGATGGCTTCGCCAGGAACGCTCGAGCCTCCTGGGCGGGCAAGCGGGGTGCACATATATATATATATATGTTTATATGTATATGTATATGTATATATATATATGTGTATATGCACAAATCTGTGTATGTGTGTATGCCTGTCTCCCTGCATTTACACCTGCTGCACATATGTATTTTTGTCCACTATCTGTCGACCATGACCAATCTACCCACCTGACAATCCTGAGACAGGAAAGCGAAATCATCATCGGGTCAACCATCGGGACAAACATCGGAACAACCATCAGGACAACCATCGGGACAACCTGCTGGACAGCCAATATCCACGGGGGGCCACGAGTCGCAGACGGGGCGACTCATAGAATTCTGATTCGGCCTCTGCCAGTGGAGGATTCCGCTCAGCTTCGCCTCGCCGCCACGCACGCCACGCACGAAATGCGAGGATTTCCCGGTTGGGGTACCTCACGTTTTCTTTTCACGTCTCATTATCCAGGCTTCCGATACCGCCATCATAGTATCTACGCCCAACGGGCTAAACCCACAATGCCCGCAGTCTGAGGAATTCGTTGCGTGATTTCCGACCCCGAACCGAACTTCCGGGTCGGTTTGGGAGGTCGCCGCGGCGATCGCGGCGGCCACACATCGGGGCGACGTTGTTGTTGGCAAGGAGTGGCATGCCCGTTCCCAGCCCCCCCCGTTCTAAGATGCAGACATGGCTCGCGATAGTCCATCTAGTGACAGAGAGCGGCTCACGCGTGTCCAGCATTCGCAGCCGTGTTTTGTGTGGGTGATGGGGTCGATTGTCACGCAACCAAGAAAGGAAAGACTGGATTGGCGGCGAGCCCGGGGGGAACTGACAAGGGGCGGGCCTTCTCAGAAGCTTCGGAAGTTTTCCAGCCTTTTGAGATATTTCCAACGCCTTCCCAGAAAACGCAGAAGACCTTTCAGAAGGCGCGAAGCCCCGCAGCCTTCTGAGAGGGCCATCTCCTTCTCACTTCCCCCTTCGCCCGGCACCGATTAGGGGTCGATTCTCACGCAAACAGGAAAGGAAGAGGTGGAGGAGCGCTCCCGTCCACCCGAGGCTGTGCCGTCGGCCGCGGCCGAGGCGGCACCTGCGGCCGAGGCGGCGCCCGCGACAGTGGCGACGGCGGCGGGCCCAGCGGGCGCGTGTGACAAGAGGAGGAGGAGAAAGAGGAAGAGGACGAGGAGGAAAAGGAGGAGGAGGAGGAGGAGCAAATCGAGGAGGAGGATGAGGAGGAGGAAGAGGAGGAATACGAGGAGGAGGAGGAGGAAGAGGAGGAAATTGAGGAGGAGGAGGAGGACGACGAGGAGGACGAGGAGGAGGAGGCAGAAGAGGAGGAGGAGGAAGAGGAGGAGAATGATGATGATGATGAGGAGGAGGAGGAACAGGCATGTTATTAATAATCATAATGATACCATGAATACTAATAGTATTATTAATGGTAATAGTACTACTAATACGTATCAGACTAACAATAATACCACCAAGAAGGATAGGCCAATTCACACTCATAAAAATAATACTAATAACACGGAGAAGAAGAATACTAATACTAAGACGAAGAGGGATACTAATAATGCTACCCAGCATAATAACAATAATCAGAGGATTCCTAATACTAAGAAAACGAATAATAAGACTAACTTGAAGACTAAGACGAATACGAACACCAATGCGAATAACATTACCATACGAATACTGATACGGTTCGTAATAAGCACACATAAGCATACGAATACTAGCAGTGTTACTATTATTAATGCTTTAATTATTAATTCGAAAAATGCGACGAATAATACACATGACAATCTACGATACGAAATGAAGAACTACGAGTAATACGGATATGAAGGATGCGAACCACACTAAAATAATAACAATTATAATAATAAGGCTATTACGAAAACGAATGCGAATACGACTACTACTACTACTACTACTACTACTACTACTACTACTATTACTACTACTACTACTACTAAGAATAATAATGATAATACTAATAATAATAATAACAACGATGATAATGATGATGTTAATAATACTTAAAACTATATTAGTAGGAAGAATAATACTACGAATTAGCATAATCATAGTAATAATATGAATGCTGACAATGAGAATAATAATACGAGTAAGAATAAGACGAACCTGAATCATCATAAGAAGAAGACTATGAGGAGGAGGAGGAGGAGGAGGAGGAGGAGGAGGAGGAGGAGGAGGATAATGAGGAGGAGGGGGGCATCTTGGGAACCTATGGGGACACTCTTGGGGCCTCCTGGGAGCTTCCTGGGAGCCTCTTGGAGGAGGAGGAGGAGGAGAGGAGGAGGAGGAGGAGGAGGAGGAGGAGGAGGAGGAGGGGGGGGGGGGGGCATCTTGGGAACCTATGGGGACACTTTTGGGGTCTCCTGGGAGCTTCCTGGGAGTCTCTTGGAGGAGGAGGAGAGGGAGGAGGTGGAGGCGGAGGAGGAGGAGTTGGAGGAGGGGGAGGAGGAGGAGGAAACCGAGGATGAGGAGGAGGAGGAGGAGGAGGAGGAAAAGGATGATGATGATGATGATGATGATGATGATGATGATGATGATGATGATGATGATGATGATGATGATGATGATGATGATGATGATGATGATGATGATGATGATGCTGATGATGATGATGATGATGATGATGATGATGATGATGATGATGATGATGATGATGATGATGATGATGATGATGCTGATGCTGATGATGATGATGATGATGATGATGTGATGATGATGCTGATGATGATGATGATGATGATGATGGTGGTGGTGATGATGATATGATGATGATGATGATGATGATGATGATGATGATGATGATGATGATGATGAGGAGAGGAGGAGGAGGAGGAGGAGGAGGTGGAGGAGGAGGAGGAGGAGGAGGAGGAGGAGGAGGGAGGAGGGGGAGGAGGGGAGGAGAGGGGAGGGAGAAGGAGGAGGAGGGAGGAGGAGGAGGAGGAGGAGGAGGACGAGGAGGAGGAGGATAAGGAGGACGAGGAGGAGGAGGAGGAAAACGAGGAGGAGGAAAACGAGGAGGAGGAGGAAAACGAGGAGGAGGAGGCCAACGAGGAGGAGGAGGAGGAGGACATGAGGAGGAGGAGGACGAGGAGGAGGAGGACCAGTGTAAACCCAAAAGGCATCAACGATGTTGGAATGAACCCTCCCTCCAAGCTCCCTCTTTCATATGCCCCTACAACGGTTCATTTCCATTGGGGGAACTGCGTCGTTGGAAGACAACCGTTTGAATATCAAGAAGCATGCCAAAACATAATTCTCGGGATTCCAGCGCCACGTATCGACCTGACTGTTTCGTTCTGGCGGTCTGGAATCGTGCCATACGCCATTTTTGTATTTCAATATTGCGAACCAGCATAATTGTTGCACCCGAATAATCCCGCATCCTTCCAAAACACCTTTTTTGGTACGCTGATAGTGGGAATCAGTGAAGCTCTTGCATTGAAAAACAAAAACGAATGTGCGCGGTGCTAAGGCGAGAGCCACATTTTGAAAGCCACCCGTCCTCAATCCGTGAAACTCTGGCGATGTGTTACAGCTAATGTGCGCGGCGCTACGGCGAGAGCCACATGCTGAAAAGGAACCGCCCTCAATCCGTGAGGCTCTTGCAAATGTTTGCGACGAATATGCGCGGCGCTAGGGCGGGATCCACATTTTGAAAACGACCCGCCCTCCATTCGTGAAGCTCTAGATTCTACTGTGCGCTGCGCTAAGGAGAGAGCCACATTTTGAAAACCACCCGCCCTGAATCCGTGACACTCTTGCGATGTTTTACAAACATGTGCGCGGCGCAAAGGCGAGAGCCACATTTCGAAAAGGAAGCGCCTCCAATCAGTGAAGCTTGTGCAATTTGTTTAAACGAATATGCGCGGCGCTAAGGCGAGATCCACATGTTGAAAACGTCCCGCCCTCAATTCGCGAAACTCCGGCAAACGTTGAACACGAATGTGCGCGGTGCTAAGGCGAGCACCACATTTTGAAAACCATCAGCCCTCAATCCGTGAAGCTCTTGCGTTTTTTTACACAGAATGTGCGCGACGCTAAGGCGAGAGCCACATGTTGAAAACCAACCGCCTTCAACCAGTGAAACTCTGGCAAACTTTGGAACGAATGTGTGCGGCGCTAAGGCGAGAGCCACAATTAGGAAACGACCCGCGCCCCATCTGTGAAGCTGTTGTCACTTGTAAGCTTCATAGTTATGAATGGTGAGGGGGTCTCAGGCGAACCGTCCAGCCCGCCCTGAAAACTGGCCTCGGGGTGCGACAGGGAGGAGTTGCCGATAAGGAGAAGGAATGAAGGAGGAGGAGGAGGAGCAGGAGGAGGAGGAGGCGGAGAAGAGGAGGAGGGGTATTGGCGTGCGCTCGAGAAGGAGGGAGAGGAGGAGGAAGCAGAGGATGAGCAGAGGAGAGGCGGATGAGGCGGAGGAGGAGGAGGAGGACACCGAGGATGAGGATGAGGAGGAGAAGGGGGAGGAAGAGGAGGCGGATGAGGAGGAGGAAAAGGAGGAGGAGGAGAAGGAGGAGCAGGATGAGCAGCAGGAGGAAAAGC